GGACTCAGCATGGTGAGCCAGCGACTGAATCCTCTGAGCGACGAGATCGATTTTCAACCGGGTCGCTCGGTCACGTTCCTCTCTCAAGTCGCTGACCCTCTTTCCTTTCTCAACGTCTGTTTCTTCGCTACCTTTCTGAACTTTCGTTTTTTCACTCTCTTTCTGAATTTACGTTCTCCGTAACCTTCCTCAACTTCAGTTTCTACTCCTTTCTCAACATACGATCTCCATCGCCTTTCTCGACTTACGTTCCACAATACTTCCTCAACTTCCATTCTGCATCGCCTTTCTCATCTTCCTTCTCCACCACCTTTATGACTTTGTTCTTGACTCTTTTCTCAACTTCCGTACTCCACTTCGTTTCTCAACATCCGTTCTTCACCGCCTTTCTCAACTTCAGTTCCCAATCGCCTTTTTCAACTTTCGTTCTCAATTGCCCGTCTCAATTTTCTATCTCATTACTCAAACGCCTCTCTAACTAATGTTCTCAGCCCTTCTCGACTCCTGTTGTTAATAGTCATTCTCAACTTCTGTTGTCAACACCATTTCTCAACTTGTCAGAAAGGCGTTTTTCACCTTTTCTCAAACCATTTTCAACTACGTATTTCGGCTATCTCTCCCAACTCAGTCTCTCGACCACCTCTCAACACGCCTTTGCAACACTCGCATAGCCTTTTTAAACATTCTCAATTTTGTCTCAAAACGTATTTGAATTCTATCCTCCTTTATCCTTTTCTCTAAATGTGTGATTTCTTCTCAATTTCCTTAATTCCTGAGCATTTCTGAACTTACTTTCTTGACAGTTTCACACATTTTTACTTCAATTCCATACCTACATTTCTTTCTTCGGCCGTTTCTCACATCTTCCGTGCTCAGTCACTTTTCTCAACTTGGTATAATATTCGCTTCTCTACTTTTAGTCTTTCACTTACTACACTCATCTTTCTTCCTCAATCTTCTCTCTCAACACTCACCTGGTCTTTTTGAACCTTCTCAATTGTATCTCTGTCATCTCTATCCTATTTCTATTTATCCTTTGTCTCTAAATTTGTGAATACTGTTGTTTAGTTCCACGACCAAAAGTTTCATTACTTAAGATACAAGCAAAAACAATAAGTAAATAATCTAGCTTATAATAAAATCAAAGGATTGAGAAAACATTTAGTAAAACCTGTATTTCAAGAATGTTTTACGCAGGTTGTCGTTAAATATTTAAACAAATTTTGCCTTAAAATTATTAATCTCACTTAATATCCTGCTTTTTCATGTTATATTAGCAACGATGTAAATTTTTGGTGGCTTGAAAGTAAAATGAAATGCAACTACTTTATTCATGTTGTATAATAGTACAATCAACTACATGAGTGAACAAGCGACATAGGAACAAGTTCCAAAAGTGCACAATATAGTGTAGATAATAAACATAACATATGAGAGTATATTATAATATTTTATTATATAACATAATTTTAAATCTATAAGAATGCACCTTACGTTTGGAATTTAGTTATATCTCCGGACCACTTGCGACTTACAGTTACGTAAACTGTAGAGATGCCATCGTAAAGTAATTGGATGTGGGACGCTGGTGTTTGTAGGTCTACGCATGGATCCAGGACAACGTGTGCTACGTGTACGACAGTATGAAGATTTATTTACCGACCTGTCTCATGAGCCAGCTGGTGCCGCAGTTCTTCGACTGCGCCTCCGCCCTCACCATTATGGCGATCGCCATCGACCGGGTGATGAGCGTCTCCCACACTGCCCGCTGCCGCAACTTCCTCAACTCCAGGTGAGTTGCATTTGTTTATTTAAAGTACTAGTTTATGTGGCTAAATCCTTTTTTTTCTTTCGAAAATGCAAATGATCCCTCTACTTTATCTCCTTGACGACAAGAGGTTAATTTCGTTTCCATCTCTCTAAAAGATATGAAGTTGGCATGTTTACAGAACGACAAAATTCTTTAATCGTAAGTAGAATTAATAATCATTGAAAAACTTTATTGTTTCATTTCACTGAAGGAGCAAGTCGTGGTAGTAAGTTTTTTAGGGATTGCTTGAAATTCACGTTAGATTAAACCCCAAAATTAACAAATAAAACAAAACAATATTTCTGTTTAGGTGGAAAATAGAGATGATCTCAAAATAAGTTAGTAGCTAGCACGTAGTGTGAATGAATGAACGAACTATTAATATCATACAGTTGATCATCATTTAGATGTTTATTCATTCGGGCACAATATTAGCGATAGAGTTTACGACAGGTAAGGCGACCATAATGACCACTTAACTACGCTCTTCTCCTAGCTCTGTCCTCAAAGAGGTCTGCATGCGTAGTGCTAAATACATTGGGCATTCACCGTTGTACATACATCTCGAGAAGCTGAGAAAGCTTTGGAAATGCACGAAAAATCAATGCTAATTCAATCGTCGGCACATCAATTTGCAAATTTTACTTTCTTCCTACAGAGTAGAGAGTTATGTAAGGCTGCGCGAAGAAACAGCGAATTTTAGGCAGAAAAACACTTATTACATGGACCTGATAATGAAAAAGTGAATACATACAGTTGATAAATAAAAAAAAAAACTTTTTCGTAGTGTAGCTAGAATCCTTGTTTTGTAGGTCCTTGATACCGAAAATCGAATGACTGCAAAACGTCTGTCTGAGTGTGAACAACGCTAGCGGCTAAACCGTTCTGCCGATTTTCTCCAGTCGAGCCGGCTGATGTTGCGGGCCCGTGAATTTCAAAATGATATTTCAATTTTGTGGGGTATTTTACATGAAGGCCCTGAGACATTTTCTAAATTCAAAAGAATAGTTTCATCGTTTTTAATTAAATGTTGTTGGATAGCTTTTAAGAGAACAGTGAAGGTCTCATGTTTGTTAAAATTTCTGATTTTTCGAAAATTGCAACTGTTCAAAATTATTTCCGAATCTTCCTACAACTAAAATATTAATGATAGATTTTTTTCCCCTTAATGAAAATGTTCCTTAAAGATATATTTTGAAATAAGGTTGTGTACAATTTATGGGCATTGTACACACTAACTACCAGCTAAGACATAGTTCGTGCCCGAAAACACACAACACACACACTAACGCGTGTGTCGTTTGGCGTCATATTCAAATGATCTGCAGTCCCTCTGACCGGGAGGTCCCAGATTCGAGTCACTGTCGGTAGCGGGATTTTTGACACTTAGCTAGGGCGAATTCAGTCGCTGTCTGAAGGAGGATTTTAACGGCTGGTTCATCTGATCGGTAGTTTTCCGCTGTTCCTTCTATCAAAACCAGGCGAATGCCGGAGCAGTATCCTCACAAGTGGACTTCGAATAGCGCGCTATCTTTCCTACCTTTTCCTTGTCCAACCTGACCCCTTACACACACTTACACGAACATGCACTACACTACTACACTTGCCGGGAGACCGGTCGTGAGATTAGAGCTTGTCCCGGCTGGGGCGGTGCACTTCTAGTGGGAGATACGTAGTTGGGGAAAACCGCCGAAAACTAGCTGACGGTAGGTCGGCGCTGGATCTCACCGTATAGCGGGAGGCAGGCAACACTACACTTACGGGAATAATGACCGTGGTTGTTGACGCATCCGGTATCGCAAACAATCAATCACATGATCGATTCTGGCTGTTGCAGGCGCACGGTCGTCGTCATCGGCTTCACGTGGGTGCTGGGCCTCCTCCTGGCGTCCACCATCTTCATCCCGGGCGTGTACTTGTGGTCGGAGAGCGGGGGCTGCGAGCTGACGTCTGCGTACGATGAGGCCATGCTGTGGGGCACCGTGGCCGTCGTGCTCTCCACCATCTTCGGCTGCTACTGGCGCATCCACCAGGTGAGGGGGCGTCGACTCGCGCGTTGGCCGAGGAAAAACGCGTTTGTTATCGATCTTTCTCACTGGCTTGCTTTTGGAGTGTGGGAGGCGGAAGCGTACTTTTTATCTGTGAAAAATACGTTGGTCATTCTCGGCTGTTCGCAGTAGTATATGGAGCACGCTCTATGCACAGTTTACTGGTAGTTTTGCTGGGATTGGTTAGCGAAAAGCATCATGATCTCCCTTACAAAGGAGAAAATAATTTAATACAATGTTATATTTAATGGATTTTAATAGCAGAACATTTTTTAAAAAATAATTAAAATATAAAATACTTACCGACTAGCTTAGTTTCGATTTCACAACTATGCAGTGGTTTGCGGCGTGCCTTACGCGATTGAATTTAATTCAGTATTTGTCGAAGAGCACACCAAACTAGTTTGTGCACATTGTTAAGTTGGTGCTTGCAAAGGAAGAGAAGTGCATAATGCGTGTGAGGTGTTTAATAGGAACGTTCAAATGATAAGCAGCGTCCAGTGAGCTATTGACGCGTTCCCCATTCATTATCCATCGTTGTTGTTTATCGTTGCTCCTTCACCCGCCGAGGCGAAGGTAACAGTCCTAGTTAGCTAGTATCGTTTATTTTCGAAAATGATTGTGCCGGATCTAGCGTTCTCGGACGCGTACTCGGACTAGCAATCTCGACGCTTTGGTCTTGTCCCCGACCACGATCGGAAACGCCGTTTTAGTGGCTCTATCATAGATGCTAAAGGGAAGGGCGCCATTCAGTATTCTGTGTTTCTGAAATAATAGTGAACTAGTAGAGTTCGTGCGATCACTCCGAACTATCATAGTCCTAAAAGTGAAAATAGCAAGGACAAAAAAACTGTTTTAAGGGACCAGAATGTATGGTTTGAAAGTTCTGCACGGCGATAACCGCGTAACGTTTGTGTGATTCTCCTTATAATCTGCTAAATTTTATGATTTTCATCATAAATATGTCTGATTCAGGACAGGGGTGGGATTCTCTACCCTCTTTTAGCAAACACACGGATTTTTGGGCTAATTTTTTTCTTTATAATTCCAAATTACTTTATTTTATCGAAATCAAGTCCCCCTGTCTTCCAAAATTTGCCAATTGTTTTTCTGAAATGATCTTTGATTTTTCAAATAGTAATACAAATCGTTCTGAAATCCCACCTTCAATTTTCTTAGGACCTACTAACAATGAACATTTCCCGAAATTATCACTTGTAAGCAACATTATTTCAAGGATGAAATTACGAATAATATAACGAAGATTCTCGAAATTCTCATCTAAAAACAGAGAGTTTTTAGGTGATATTCGTCAAAATACGATGTCTTTCTTTAGCGTAATGTCTGCAGAGAAGGTATAACAATTATATTTAATTACAGAAATATATTATCTGTACTTAGATTTAGTCTTTACTACGAATATATAGAAATCATCAGATTCCTTGTTACACTTTAATTACTAACTACTTGGATAGGGGCGCAAAATATGATGAAGTAACTTAACCTAGCCCAGAGCACTGACCTGTACGTTTTACTAAACTTCTTTGTTTTTAACGTTTGAGAGTCATGTGATAACATCAAACGTGATTTCCTAGAGACCCGCAATATCAGCAGTTTTTCCAATGACGATACGACGCTTGTTGCACCAACACGGAAAAAAATGAATGAAAAGGATAGAGTACCTTGTCAGTAGAACATTTCAGCCCTGCATTTATGACACCTACTGTCCAAACATCACATTATTAGAAGTACAGTAGAGGTATTAGATTGCACAATAAAGGATTCTCCTCCATACGGCGGCTGAATTTGACCCAGATGAGAAGCTAGTATCGAAATTCCCCTCTGATATCCGTCGGGATTCGATCCCTAGGACTTCCTGGTCAGAGGCACCGCAGTGACATCATCTGATGTCCTGAGCCACCTAAGTTGGTCGATGTTGGTCGGTCGAAATTGCAATGCCGCATCCCTAGTAAGAATCCATCTCTCTTCGCGCAGGTCACCCTGTGCATGCTGCGCCGGGGCTCGCTGCCGGCGCCCAGGAAGCAGGCCGGCACCAAGGCGGCGCGCATGCTGCTGCTCATCTTCGCGTGGGACTCGTGCGCCTACTTCCCGCTGCTCATCGTCACCATCGTGCAGGCGTGCGGCGTCACCGTCAACGCCACGCTGCACGACGTCTCCTCCAACCTGACCTTGCTCACGATCCTCGCCGACCCCTACATCTACGCGTACAACAACCAGCAGACGAAGAAGGCCATCGTGGACTTCGTCGCGTGCTTCCGCCGCGACGCGCGCGAGGACGAGATGGAGCGGGTGGGCAGGCGGCAGTCCATGCTCCCGGACACCTCGATGAGGCGCCTTCGACACATCATATCGAGTATCACCAACACGAGTACCGCCAGCGAGGAGGAGAAGGAGAAAGCGAACGGCCAGTCGCCGACGCTCAAACGAAACAGCCTCTTCATGTCGTGAGGTTTTTCAATCGACGCATCCACAGAAGTCGCGAATGATAATTAAGACTGATAGTGTGGACATTACAAAACGACGATTCCTTACGGAAAGATTTGTTTACCTCGTTGTTGGAATAGATCTCAATGATTATTTTTCAATGAGACATGTACCAGGTGCTCTCTACAATTGTGATAGACTGTTTCCTCGCTAGTGATGATGGATTTTGAAAGGTACGAGAATCAGAAATGTACTGCAATGGTATTAGATGGATTGCTACACATGTAGGGTTCTATCACAAAATTCCTTTTTGAGGAATGAGATTCGGATGAGAATTTACAGAATGAAATTCAGTATACAAGTCAGATTGAAAGAAAAATTGTATTCCTTGTTTTAAAAGTAATGAGAATTTAGGCGAATTAATCGTTTTTGTACTCAACTATTTATGCCAGTAATTGAGTAAAACATCGTTCCTCAATTTCCTTTAAATTGCATTCTTCTTGCGAGAATATTAAACAAGATTTCAAAAAGGGGAAATTATGTGAATAACATGTACATATTGTTATATATTTTTGTTTTGTAAATATGTTGATAGTGAATAATTGTTGGAAGGAGAACAATTGTTTGTATATAAATTCCAGATTAATAAATATATTTTGTATTCTACTCCGTTTTTTACTTTTCTATGAAACTGAACACAATGAATCTCCTGTTTCTGTTCCTATTGTATCAAAATATGTTTGTACAGGAGCAATCGAGAGAAAATCTGGAACCCGAAGCAAATAAGGTACGTAGGCACCGACTGCACTCCCCTTTCCCTCTGCCCTCGAACTGAAAATAATAACTAATAAAAATCTAGGAATATCTTCTAGGAATATACATGTAGCTCTATTCTGATATTATTTTGTTCTACCATGATATCGGATTTCTACCAATTAAAAAGAGAGAGGTTAGTCCACATACTTGCATATAAAACCAGTGGTGCTACAGAACGATTTCTATAATAATGGGCCAAAGTGACAGTTCGCTAAATAGGTGATCATAACGTGTAATTCCGAGAAGTATCCCTCCGCCGCGACCGCTGTTCAAACACGCCCCTCCGTAGTGTTTATGGCTCCCGTGAAGACATCACTGTACAGAAATCTCAGAGTTTCGCTGATGTATATGCACGTACGCGAGTCCGGGAAATGTTAAAATTTATTTGCGCGTGTTGAAAACTGATTGAACATGCTCTCATATTTGGTAAAAGAAAAATTCTACAAATGTAAATCGAAAGAAAAAATGATTTTTCAGGGCACGTTTAAATGCATTTTCTGGTCGTTTTACAGCGAATAGCTCATGCATTTTTGTAGTTAAGAGGATGGTTTATTTATAATTATAACACCCCCGACTATCAATATTTAGTACTATGCTCTCATAAGTTACATGTGACTTAATAGTTGCTTTATGTCTAATGTTCTGCATGTTAATGCATTCCTCAATCATAAACCACGAGCATGCCCTTTGCACACACTAGCTTTTCGTGGTTCACAACTGAGTCACAATTATATAATAAAGCAAAGCACGGAACCACGAAACGCTCTCGAACACAGCGCTCCACATTACAACACAGGAGCCGGAAACTCGGGCACCGCCACCAGTAAGCATCCTTCAAAACTCGGTTTTAAAATAAAGATAATATTTATCATACAAAAAGTAAATTCGATGTAATGTTTATAAAAAAATTACAGAAGAGCAGTCGGACGAGAACATCACAAAAGGAAGCGTCGAAGCCATTAACAAGTTAGCCAACTGCAAACGAACGAATGGAGTGTCTAATACGCTCAAGGACACAACGATCGCAGAACACAAGAATCGCACAGTTATTTTGCCAGCACTAAGTGTCAAAACGTACCCTTCTTATAAAAATCGATCTATACAACAGCACGTACTTTCTCACAATTCGTAATTATAATACCGTCATTTTTGTGCATATTAATACATTTAAATAATAATTTCTAAAACACTTTATAAACCGGAGAACATTAGGTGTAAAAACTAATTCTTTCAAAGGTAATATAACACAAACTTGGTCATTCAATGCGCATTTTAGCCTTAAAAATCGAAGTAATAATACGTTACATGTTACACTGTTTGTCTTTACGTGCAATGCTAAATGCTCCATACACTTTACCACTTATGCAAATTCTCTCAAAAACTGCGACACCTACTTGTATTTTAAATGGTAATAATTATAGTACCGCAATTTCTGTCCGTATTAACACATCTCAATCATAACTTGTACAATTCATTACAAATCGTGGAACATTGGGTTCGAAAACTAATTCCTTGAAAGATAAATCATCAATTAGAACTGCGTTTCATACTGCTGTAACATTCCCAACAATGATAAGAAATTATTAGAATTTTAAACTCCGTGTCGCACCGTTGAGAATTCCAATCTCATACTTCCTCAAAGATTTAGCGAATAAAGTGTGGGAAAATTGACTAATCAAATTCGAAAATTTGCAAATCCATATGTATGTAAAGAACCCCCAAAATGTATGCTTTATGTAAAGAACACCCTAAATTCAAAATATCCTTTCCAAACTCGCAGGGACTCGAGGTCGTTTAGTTTGATCTAAGAATATCTTTTATGAGAAAATCGTGTGAACAGTTTAAGCATTAGCGTTGACCATAGACGAACATACGTTTTGACGTGCATAGATTTTTCCACAGCAAGGTCTACAAAAAAAAGAATTATGACTCTACAATGTGTTAGAGGGAAAAATACTACATATAGAAAAAGATTTATCAACTTTTTCGTTACGTTTCTTTGTCGAAAAATGGCCGTTTTTCCACAGCATTACATTTTTTTTCTTTACTGCTTAAGTAATACGATAAAGTAACTAGTAACACTTAATTTGTAACGGTTACGTAATATTAATATATCAATTTCTGTCAATACTAAAAAATCTCAAGTCATCATTTCTAAAACACATTGCACATTGTAGAACATTAGGTGAGAAAAGTAATGCTTTTAAATCTAATATATCAACACAAATTCCACAATTAAAACTGTATTGCATACCTGCTGTTACATTTCTCAACAATGAGAAAGAATTCTCAGAATTTTGAAACTGCCGTGTCACGGCGCAGAAAGTCCTAGTTGCAATGCAATCTGATAATTCCTCAAATATTCTAGAAAAAAAATTTGCAATGTCAAAACTTTTCAAAATTAAGTTAACTACATGTATTTTGGAAAAAAATGTCGCTTAGGTGTGCAGTTATCAACCTATTTTTCTGCCGTGCGCGAATTCCAGTGTCCGTTTGCGTCAGTTCTTGGATCGGCCCTATGCGATATCGAATTTCTTCCAATTAAATAGAGGTGACGTTGGTTCACTTATTTACGTATCAAAATGCAGGTATTTATTCAACGTTATCAGCAAACACGTATGAGCTTGAAATATATATATATATATATATATATATATATATATATATATATATATATATATATATATAT